GAAACATTATGAACACTGGAAAACCTTTGATCAGAGTTCAACTCTTCCTTAACATGGTGTGCAGGAAATGAAGTCAGAGGACCTAGATGTGAATACTGGTTTCCCCACTTAATACCTGTGTGCTCTTGCGCTAGTCATTCAGTTTGCTCATCTACAAAATGAGAGGGTTGGACTAGATGACCTCTGAGATTTCTCCTAGCTCTAAATCTATCATCCTATCAATGCTCTTTTCAGCCACATGGCCAGGTGGTGGCAGAGTGGGGCCTTGAACCCTCATCTCTGGATCCAGGATCCAAGTCTCAATTGATATGCCTGGCTTGCACTTTAGAAAGAGGACTATTATGTTGAAACTTTCAAAAGGGCTGTGATCTGTGCTCATTAAACTGAATTATGTCAATTTTACCAGACTGAAAAAAAAATTCTATCTCAAGAACACTCCAGGCTAGAAACGATGTCTAATGTGAACCTATTTTAATAGCCATCTGTGGGGGAGGGGCAGCAATTGTGGGGACCAGCAATACATTAAAAAAATGGGGCGCCAGAAGGGCAGTGACACCAGATACCTCACAGGAGCTCTGCACATAGGGAATATATTTGGTTTTAATCTGCAAGCCCATGCACTCAGTGCTACGTAAGGCTAGGCAGTGATTCAGGGGTGCTGAATTCTCCCTCCTGAAAGTCACGGAGGTATTTCAGGCATTTTTTCTTAATTCTGTGCAGTTAGCCTTCAAAGGAGGCCAAGTAACAGAAGGACTCAACCATCTTGCTACGCTGATGGAGAGAAATAAGTCACCCATCCTTATTACTAGTTTGGGGTTGAAGTACAGGAGGTGTGAAATAAAGCCATGCCACAGTGTCTGTTAACAATTATTTGCTATCAGTCACAGGGATCCTCTGAAAACTTCCATTTCAGTTGCTTTGAAATACAGACAGAAATTGGGCCTCCATTCAATCTCCACTATCCTATTAAAGACGGACCTTCCATACACCATGACGACCTCTCAATAGGTCAGCCTCGCATTTCACATTTGCAATTCAAACCCAAGGCTGGAGCCCAGAAAGGGCAAACTGGGCTCTTGATTATATTGAAGAGGTCATCATTGCTATGCAGAGTGGCAGGAGGCAGATCTCCAGCTTGGTGCATCTTAAAATTATATGATTGTCTGGATTTGTATCACTGTTCAGAACTGTATCATGGTTCATGTTCATTACACCGATCGAAACACTATCACTGTTTGGAAATTGCAACATTGTTTGGAAAGGTAGCATTGTTCAGAACCATGTCTCAATTAAAATATTGCTGTTCACAATGGTTTAATTGTTTGAAATTGCACCATATATCAGAATTGTATTGTTTCTTGAATATGACTGTTAAGAATTGTTCTGAACAATAGTTCGAAACTGCTTTAATTCTGTGACGAAATCTGAACGGGGATAGTAAGCTTAGACATTTCCTGGGCTCCACATGTTGCCATACAAAAGGGAAAAAGAAAGGCAAAAAATATATTTTCAGCTGCAGTGAATAAGGTCAGGCAGAGCAAAGCCTTAAATTGGCCCAGGAAAGAGAGTAGAAAAACACTGCAGAAGATCCAAATTCTGTACCCACTGAACAATGCCGGAGTTTCAATTACAAAACAGCTCTGCTACTAAAAACTGTAAAATATCAAGTCCGCAAAAATCTGTAAAAGCAAGGGAGGGGAAGTGAAAATTGAAAAAGGTACACTAATGGATCTGTCAACAGTCCAACGGTGACAAGACACATTTCTATAAAATGTCCGATGGTTAGTGAAACGGGTTTCACCATTTATAGTGCCTGAAACGTACTGACACTCTCTCTAGAACATTATCTTCCCAAATGAATCTTGAAATAACTTGGAGGGGGGAGTGGAAGAGGGAAAGAAATGGAATGGGGCCCTACTCAATGGATTGTTTGCAAAAGGAGCTTGAGAGGGGTGGATCCAGGGAGATCCAGGCTTTTTAAACAAGCTATTTTTAACCCTTCCCTCAACAACAACAACAACAAAGCTCTATGAGCAATACTGGCTATTAGTAGGAATGTGAAATAATGCTAAAGATGGATCTATAAGGTCTTCTTGTACATTTAGGAATAGCTAGAAGACCTTTTATTGGCTTTTTTTTTAATACAATGGCCAATCAGAATTTCCTTGGGCTTTTTCCACTTGGTGGTATTTATTCTGCAAATCTTCTAGGGAGAGCAACATATCTTTAATGATTTTAGGTAATAGTATAATGCCAGTGACAGCCAAGGAGCTAGCTGGAGAGGAGGGAAAAATTGCTGGAAGTAAGAAATTTATTCTTATTTTACATCTGTGATCAAATTCAACTGCTGGTGACCAAGATGGGGGGGGGGGCAGCGGCACGTAGGCTGATTGAAAATAACAAGCAAATGATATATTCCATTTCCTTCAAAACCCCCTCCCCCATTTCTAACAGAGGGTGATAGGCTGTGCTTAAGGGTCTCTGCATTTTTATCCCTGGTTTCTAAATTTCAAGATTATAAGTCTGGCTGCTAAAAATTCATTTTCAACTGAAGCAAAGCTTTCAGTCAGAGAGTTGACCTTCCAATTAAAAGGAATCAATTTATTTGATTGTTTCAAGGTAATTAGAGGCCTTTTTGACTTAAAACTTTAAACTGGTTTCCATCTTAAACAACTGAGATCCTAAATAAAATTGAAGCCTGATGTGGAGATTGATTGAATGAAACCCATTCCATGTATGTGCCATGAAACAGTAAAATTTTTCACATTTCTACAGTATGTTACAATACCATCACATGCATTTTCTCATTTAAAAATTCTTTTTAAATTGTCCTTTTTATTATATTTTCTCATTTGAGCCTTATAATAACCGTAGGATGTCCACAGCATATTGTCTCCATTTTGCAGATTAGGAAACTGAGGCTCAGAAAATGAAAGTAATTTTCTCAAGGTTACAGAGTACAACTTGTCTTTTACCCCCAAGTTCAGTGTTTTATGACAGCATGTCTGCCTTCTCATAAATCAGCCCAAAAAGAAGTTTTCAAAATGAGGACTGTTTGAATGGTCCTATATTCAGCAATAAGAACACACAACTTGCTTTGGAATGGGGTCAAAGTATAGTCAGATTCAAAAAGCCAACATTCTTCTTTCACTTTAACCTCAAAATTACCTATGTGAATGCATTTTCCAAATCAGATAGGCTAAGGTTATTAAACAGCATGACAGCATCAATCCTGAGTCAACGCTGTATCTTTCCTTCATATCATCACTAGATAAATCTTTCAAGTCATGTCATTCCTCTGCTCAAAAATCTTCAGTGGCTCCCTACTGTCCACAAAATAAGGTTCAAGCTCCTTTGCCTGACATTCAAGGCCATCTATAATCTGGTAGTAGAGCACTTTTCCAGATTTATCTCATATTCCTCTCCCCTGCACAACTGACAATCTCATCATGTCGACCTCTCTCTCTGTTGTCCAAGCACATCCCTCATATTCTTGCCTCCATGTTTTGCTTAAACTATTCTTTATGCCTGAAATACCTTACCTTCTCTCGAATTTCTCCCATCTTTTAAAGATGAACCCAAAGACCAAAGAACTCCTCCAGGAAGCTTCCCCTGAAACCTTGTCAGTGATGACTATGCTCCTCAGACTTCACATAGTACCTTGTCCTTCTCTACAGTACCTTCGTAGTACTTATTGGGCATTCGGGCCGTGTTGAGTCTTATCTCATTGCCAGACTATGAGCACCCTGAAAGCAGGGACCATATCTTATCTCAACTTTGTATCCTTCCTAATGCCTCCCACATACCCTGCCCATTAGACATCAATAAATGACAATAATAACTAGCATTTATAAAGGGCTTTAAGGTTTGCAAAGAGCTTTACATATGTTATCTCATTTGATCCTCACAAAAACCTTGTGAGGTAGGTGCCATTACCATTCTCATTTTGCAAGAAGAAATTTGAGGATCTAGAAGGTTAACTGACTTGTCCTGGGTCACACAGCTAGTAAATATCTAAGTGAGGATTTGAACTCAGGTTTTTCTGACTCCAGGTCCAGCACTCTTTCTAAGGTGCTACTCAGCTGCCCTTTATTTATTTATTTTTGGTAAATGTTTGTGGAATTTAATTAAACTAATTTTAAAGTACCCTTTGCATGCATGTTCATACCATCAAATGTAAGACAGTCTAGCTGATGTGTTCTTTACTGTTAGGACACACTGGAGTCTAATAAGCACCATTTAGAAATCTCAGAGATTTTATACATCATAGGGGATTGGGGAACCGAGGCACCAAGTCAGGAAGCTGAACCCAGGGCATATAGTGGTGGAGTAATAAGAGCTAGGACTAGAACCTAGGTTTCCTAGTCTAGTATTTTATTGTTACAACATGTTATCCTTTTATTTTCATATAGTTCTATCACTGGGAAAGAAGACACTCAGTCTCTTTCCCCTCTGTCTTCCTTCTCACTCCTCATAACAACACAAAAGCAACGTTCTCTAATTTAATCCACCATCGTGGGGCCATTCTGGGGAGGAAGCTCCCCCAAACCTACCATGTGTGTTTCTGGATGTTACACGTGTTGATGATATCTATACTCTGAATGCCAGTGTTACTTTGCCCAAGGAGTCACTGGGACAGTGTCCGAGTAGGCACCTGGGTTCCACAGAGCATAGTTACTAGAGGTAAGAGAAGCCAATTTCCACAGACCCCTGCCCTTTGTTACCTAGACACCATGGAGTAGGGCAGGGACAGACTGACAGCAGGAACTCTGAACTTCCTTGCCTTTGTAGGCTTAAGCCAAAGTCTTAATGTTATTTGAAGACAGTTTTTTGTCTGTGAATATTTAGAACAGTGTGAAAAATCCGGGACAGCTGGTAATGCATTTTGAAGTATGCTAACAACACTGTATCAAACAGCTCTCTATTGATCACATAATGCTTTTTGTGGCTAAGCATTTCATACGCGGGGCTTATACATTTTGAATAAGAACTTCAAGTACCTTTTGCTTCAAGCGGTTTTTCACCTCTTTTATTCCCAGTTTTGCATGATCTTTTGCCTGCATGAAAAATTAATTTAAGTTAAAAATCCCTTTCTGTTTCCAGCAGCGACTGCTTGATTTTGGTCCATCGTGAACTACCTTCTCTGATTACTAGAAACAGGGAAAGGGAAAAATGGGATGATCAGGTGAAAACATAATGGTTAGAAAAACAATACAGAGCTCAAAGGTTAAGGGAAAAAATCCCTTCAAGACACTGCAAAGATTTTGTTTTCTATGGTTCAATGGCACAAAATACCCCCCCCCCAACTAATAATCCACCCTCCCCTCCCCCCTACTGAAGCTCAGCTTCTTTTGCTCTAATTATTTATCTCAGCTGCCCAGGGACAGCTCCCTGTAGCAGGGGACCAACAGGATTCACTGGAATACCAGTGAAATTTCACCAGGTTAGGGCTGACAACCCCAGGCTGTCATTGGTGGCAGGCTGGAGCAGATACCTCAACCACTGTCATCGGGTTGTTTTCCAGAAATTTATATCTGCAGAGATGCCCAGCTTTTCGCCTTCGTATCAATTTTTTTTAGTTTGGTATGGTTAAAATTGACAATCATGGCTCACATTAAGATCACCACAATTTTAGCCATTCATTAGGCATCAAAAAGATGAATGAAATTAGGTGGGTATCACCAAGCAAGAGAGAGCAACTGGCAGGGGAAATATTTGAGTCTGATAAGATGGGAAGATCATGAATCTGGGTGAATCTCCTATTTCCATTTGGCTGAGGGATACTAGGCTCTGAAACAACACAGTTCCTACAGTGTTATAATAAACTTGAAGTAGGCTAGATTCCACAATTAGCCTTCAATACCTTGCAAAATAGCTTCTTCATTTGAAAAAAAAATAAAACAAAACATTAAAGGTGGAAAAAGGTTTACTAGGATCTGGCCTCGACTGTGACAATCTCTTTTCTCTTTCCTCGTGGGAGTGTGGGATGAATTATAGGCAGATATTCTACAACTTCAATATTATTAATTGGTTGCATGGAAAATATAGTCAGTGTTATAGGAGCCAGTAAGTCCCAGAGAAATGATGTTTTAAGCAGGACAGGAAGCAGGCTGATCCTCAGGAGAAATATGTTTTGGGTAAAAGATCAAATGATACAGTAGGCTTCCATGTCCTTATGGTGGGGGTCTGGTCAAAATGTATTAATAATATTATTAGGTGATATTATTGTGAAAATACATTATTTGGGCTATATATTATAATTGTTACATAAGTTTAGCTTTAAAATCTAAACTAAGGGGCCCCATTTTTTTCAATTATCTTTTGTAAGATTATGTCTTAAATCAACCATAAGTATTCCTCCCTTAAAAAATAAACAAGCAAAAGAAAACCCCAAAAGCAACAGGTTGCTTATAAAAGAATAATGCTTCATATTTTCAAATGGTCTTAATTCTTCAGGAACTAGCATAGCAGCTTTGAGAAATCTCTTTTGCAATTAAGGATCATGTATATTTAAATATTATCACTTGGAGAGCCCCCCAAAGTCAAAAGAAGATTGGTCTTGTTTCCAAGTCCCAAAGTAGTACTTACAAACTTATAGACAGTCTTCATAGCAGGGTTAGCCTTGGTTTTGACAGTATTCAAAATTGCTCCACTTCCTTTCTATAATGAAAAAAGCAATTAGCCATTTCTACTGCAGACATATCTAGCCAACACCAACACTGATCTCTTATCTTGAACCAAATTAAATCAAGCTACATGCACATTTGATATAAGACAAACATGCCTAAGTGGAAATTCACTTCAAGCATTACTCATAGGCTTTAATAGGGACAGTTGGTTTTTGAGGGAAACACTGATTTGCTTTAAACTCTAGGTTAGGAGGATCTCTGAGATTAAGGTTTTGGTTTGTCTCTATCCACTTAAAGTCAGAGAATCATAAAGCTGGAAGGGACTTTAAAACATAGAATATTAGAATGTAGGGGTTAGAATGTTAAAGTTGGAGGAGCCCTTTAAGTGTAGAATATTATAGTTTGAAACGGTTTTGGAAAATAGAATGCAAGAACACAGAACATAAATGTTAGAGGCAGAAATAACTTTAGTTACAATCTCTTATATGCTTAGAACACAGGTTCACAGAATTTTGGAACTGAAAGAGATCTAAGATACCATCTAGCCCAAACCCCTCATTTAACAGCTAAAGAAGTAAACTAAGGCCTTGAGGAGGAAAATGACTTCATCAAAGTCACATAGCTAGTTAGTAGTGGAGCTGGGACTAGAACCCAAATCTCTAGGCATCAAGTCCAGAACTCTTTCCAATATATCACACTTCCCTTGTTATAAACAGAATTTGCTGAAGTTCTTTTGAGAGAGTATCTTGTATCGCTGGTCAGTAACTTCTCATGATACTCCTACATATTTGGAACAAATCTAAAAGAAGTAGAAGACAACACCCTACCTGCTTAACATATAGCTGGAGCTGACAAGTCAGCTCCAGATGAGCTTGAGCTATACAGACACGGTAAAAATACACTACCCTCGGCTGTGTACCTGACTCTCCTTGCCCTGGTTATCTGCTCTGGGTTCTTTATATCACAGGAATGCAGCCTTTCTTACCAGCTAAATGTTGAGAAAAAGGGAAGAAGGGATATATCATGAAATCTAACTATTATTTAAGCAGAGATTCCCCAAAGTACATTGTGTGGACAATGGTATGGGGTACAATCACTCAACTGGAACTTTTATCATTTACCTTGTAAGCTTCTGAGAAAATAGATGGTAAAGTGCACTTGATTTGGCATCAAAAGATTTGAGTTTCATTTCCTGATCATTCAGCCTGTTTTCCTTTTTTATAAAAATGGTGATAATTCTTGCTCTGTTTCTCTCACAGGGCTGTTGGTAGGACCATAGGACCACAGATTTCCTTAGGGTCATTTAACCTAGCCCCTCCTCATTTCGCAGACGAGCTGAGGGCTAGAGAAGGGAAGTGGCTTGGCCAAGGTTACATAGGCAGTAACAGTAACAGTAACAGAGCCAGGATTAGAAACTATATCTTCTTATTTCACATCCTAAGGCCTTTCCACTGGGACACGCTGCCTCAAAAGGAGATAACCGAGGGAAAATGCTTTGTACACTTCTACAATGAGAGACAGGAGACCTGGAGTCATGAGAACTGAGTTCAAGTCCCTAGTCTAACACTAGTTGTTTGACCCAGAGCAAATCATATTCCTATCTCATGTGCAAAATGGGGTTAATAATCCTCATAACTTAGAGGGTTGTTTTAAGGAAGGTACTTTGAAGCCATAAATATATAAATGAGCTGTTTTTACATATGAGCTCTTATTATTCATAGATAAGATATGACCAAGGAACAATTCTATAGCAGATAAAGTAAACAAATCCTAAATGAAGGCAGGACTATTGTTTACCCCACCCACCTATATTAGGCATTCTGAGGTTTAACTGAAAAATACTTACATTGTTACAACTGTACCTAAAAGTATCATGATGGGACACAATAAGACTGGAAATTTTCCACCCACTCATCCATTCCATCCTACTTTCCAAAACAGTTGGGCAGCCTATTAAAATATTGTTTGAGTATTGAAATCACCTTCATCAATCAATCAATTAACAAGTATTTACTGACTATCTGCTTTGAGCCTAATAGTGTGCTTACATCAATGAAAGATGTATAATATTGTCTTGAAACAGGAATGAAAATATTTAACTATTTACAATTTACAAAGGACTTTATAATTTACTGTTTACATTTTAACTATTTATAATTTACAAAGGGCTTTACAATTTATAAAGTATTTGATAATAATAATAACAATGATAGTTAACATTTATATAACACTTGCTATGTGCCAACTATTATGCTAAGTGCTTTACAATTACTGTTTTATTTGATCCTCACAACGACTCTGGGAAGTAGGTGCTATTACTATTCTAGATTTACAGATAAGGAAACTGAGGCAAAAAAAAGAGCTTATGTGACTTGCCCAGGGTCACACAGCTAGTAAATATCTGAGGCTGAATGTGAACTCAGGTACTGAGAATTAGTGCCCTACCCACTGTGCCACCTAACTGTCAATTGTATTTGTATCTATTGTCCCATCTCATGCTCATGACAACTCTTGTGAGAAAGGCCAATCAGGTAGTATTGTTCTCATTCTATAGATGAGGAAATTGAGGCCCAAAGAGGTAAAAAAGCCTTACCCAAGGTCATAGAATCCTAGAACCTTGAGTTAAGAAGAAGCCTCGTATCTGTACAAAGGATAAAACCAGGAGGAACAGGGAGAAGTTATAGGGAGACAGATTTTAGCCTGACATGAGGCAAGATTTCTCAATGAAAGATAATGTTCAAACAGTGGAGGGCTGAATTACCCATCATCGGAGGTCTTTAAGCAGAGACAAAATGATTGCACATCGGGAAGGTTGTAGAGGGGATTTAGGGAGAAACTTACTTAGATGAACTCTTGAGATAATCCAGTCTTGTGCCTAATTTATGACTAATCATAGAAGAATCAGGACTTGAGCTCAGGTCTTCTATTTTTAAAGTCTAGTGTGTCTTCTATTACCTAGAGCTACTTCTTACTCTTCTCATAGTATTATTATCACTATTATCCATAATAATTCCCATTTTGATAGTGCTTTAAGATTTACAAAGTGTTTCCCTTACATCAATCCTGTGAAGTCCGTAGCACAAGCGACTTTGCCCATTTTACAAATGAATAAACAGAGAGGGAAAGTGACTTGACCCAAGGTCACAGAGCTAACATATCAGAGCTACGATTCAAACCAGGCTGTCTTGAGTCCCAGTTTAGTGCTCTTTCTACTGCCCCATGCTGCCTCTGATATATCATCTTTGAGCAGGTCATGTTTGCAGTAGAGAACTTAGACCACATATGGAAGAAAAGATATACATATATGAGACCAAAAAACTTTAGAGTATTTTGTTTAGCTCCCTTATTTTACAGATGAGAAAAATGTGGCCCAGTGCTTTTACTAGTACTTATTCATCAGTTATTAACATTTACCTATAATGTGCCAGATATCATGCTAGGTGCTAGGAACACAAATTTAAAAAAAAAATTGTCTCTGCACTCAAGGAGCTTACATTCTATCAGGGGAAATAGCAAGAACACAGAAGTGTAACTAGAAAATATATACAAAGTAGATACACTATTCTGCCACTCTATTAAAAAAAGAAAGGAAGACCACCATAGTAAAAAAATGAATTCTTCTAGGATTTCCAAAACGTATCCCAAGATTACACAAGGAATGTTAAAGAATATATCATCTAGTAAAATAACAAGCAATTGCCTGCAATGACATTAAGAAGATAGGCACTTGGAGCAACTAGGTCTCCATCTTTCCAGATAGTGCCACTAATAAAAATTAATAAATTAATAAAACAATTTCACATGATAAACACAATTACACTGGGATCTGGCAACCAAACACCCATAATTTTTCTCTGACATCACATTCAACATGTTTGAGCTGGACTCTCTCTAACGGAAAGTTGAGAAACTATTTCTTCTTTCTCCCTACTGAGGGATGGCTTCAGAGAGTCCTATTCTTCTACTTGCCAACTGGCGTGAAAATGACCTGGCATTTTAAACAAAAGCAACTTCAGATTAAAGAGCCAGATGGTTGCATAATAACAATGTGCTTGTGGGTGGTAGTGGTGGTACAAACACTCACAAAGGGGGGGTAATGAGAAAGGAGACATCAACTGGAATGGTCATTCACTTACCCTCACAGTAGAGAGCCACTGGTGATATAGTTTATCACTTCCTAGGGAAAGAGAATTAAAAGAAGATATTATTTAATTATCCACTAGAGTCCTACCCCAATTCCTTATTCTTGCACAGAGGTGACCTTGTGCTTATAAAGGCCATGCTTGAGGAGGACACGTTCTGGCAGGTACTACAGTGAATGCTAGAGAGGGTTCAAATACTGCCCAGAAAAAGAGCCTAAGTTTGGAAAGGTTCATAACTAGAGGGCTGGCCACCAGTGGATACATTTTTTTAAGTCACTCACAACTTATTCACTCTCTACTGAAGGGTGGAGGAATTGTGATGGGCAAAGGAGAAGGGAACACCCAACTGATTAAATTATGTATCTTTTGGATCCAAGGATTTTTTGGAACAATTTGCTCTCAGGACTTTTCCATTTCCTTTTATAATCAAGGCCCTTAGAAAGTTCAAAACATGGTAAACTACATGAAAATTCTGTATGTTCCATTCCAGTGATGGGGAAGGTAGAGAGAAGACAGTGATGCTGAGCTTTTGCAACCACGGAATGGGTCAAGGAGAAACTGGAGGTGGTGGGATAGTGAGTTTCCCTGAAAGTTTGGCAACTCAACAAGCAGAGCTAGAGTAGGAATTTGGAAAATTAGGTTCTAATCCCAGCTCTGTCAACAGTTCATTGTGTATTAAGCAAGTCATTTTCCCTTTCTGGGTCCCAGTTTCCTCAGTGAAAAGATTGGACTATATGTTGTAACAATCTTCTATGTTCTAAGGGCTCTTTTTGTTCCAGCATTCTAGGTACTGAGGTCTCTTTCTGCTCTAACATTCTACCCTCTAAGGTCCCTTTTTAGGCTTTGAGAGTCTTTGATTTTATGTCAGCTCAGGAAAAGTAACTGAGTATATTAAATAAAAATATATTACATAAAAGCAACTTTCCTATAAGATAGAGGAACATTTCTGTATATCATTAGAGAATCATAGACTCCTTAATCCGGAAGAGTTCTAAGAAGTCATCTAATTCAAATCCCTGTCTGATACATGAGCTCTTTCTATAATTAGAAAACGGAAAAGTGATAATTTAACCCTTTCAAGTACCATTTCTAAAAGGAAGTCATTTCACATAAACTTGACTGCAATAACAAGCTATCAGGAAGAAAAATTAGGTTCCACCATAGGGAGGAGGCCATGTTACACCTTAGAATGTAGGTCCCATGTTATACTACCTGACCACAACTGAGAAAAAAGAAACACTTCTTACCAGCATACTCTCCCATATTTATCTCTTCTTCAAAAACATCACTGAAGCCTTCTCCAGAATTGAGAAGATCCAAGCGGCCATCAATAAACTACAAAAAGGAGACAAACAAAACAACACCCATAGGAAACAGATGTAATATTCACCTTTAAATATTACCTATCTTTTAATGCCCATTGCCGGTGCTACCCCTTCCATGAAACCTTCCCCGCTTTTCACTAACTGGAGGCTATCTCTCCCTTCTTAGATTTCTCATAGCACTCTGTATCTTTCATATACATTTTTCTTTTTCATTATAGTTATTTGTATACATGTCATAATTTCCCTGGTAGAATGTGAATTCCTTGAATTTATTTATCATATATTATTTATCTTTGCATTCATAGAATCACAGAATCTGAGAACTCTGAAGGACCTCAATGGTCATACAGTCAGTCAGCAAATAAACATTTATTAAGTACTTCGTAAGTGCCAGGTATTGTGCTAAGTGCTGAAGATACAAAGAAAGTCAAAAGACAGTTTGTGCTCTCAAGGAGATTCTAGTTCAATGGGGAAGACCACATGTAAACAGCTATGTCCAAACAAGTCATATATAGAATTGGAAATAAGCAACAGAAGGAAGACACTAGTCTGACCCACACATGAAGGAATTCCTTTTAGAACATATTCAATAGGTGGTATTCCAGCTCCTGCTTGAAGATCTCTAAGGAGTGGGGATCCACCACCTCTTCAGGCATCATTACACCTGTGGGAAGCTTTAATTGTTGGGAAGTTTTCTTGACATTGAACTTAAATTAGCTTTTGTAACTTCTGCCCACTGCTCCTGGCTTTACTCTCTTGGGCCAAACAGCCCAAGTCTGATCCCTCCTTCATATAACAATCTTTCAAATACTTGAACACAATGATCATGGCCTCTTCATGTTTTCTTTTTCTTCAGGCTAACCATGACTAGTTCCTTCAACTGATTCCTATTTCATGGACTCGAGGCCCTTCAGTTTCCTGGCTGCACTCCTTTGGAGAACCTCCAGTTCATTAATGCTCATCCTAAATTAAGGCACTTAAAACTGAATCTTATCTTCCAGACAAGGTCTGACAAAGGGGACTATGATTTCTCTGTGCCTGGAATCTCTGCCCAAGATGGCTTTCATTTTTTTGTCTGTCACATCACACCTAACTGACTCATGTGGAGCTTACTGTCCACTAAGACGCCTTGATCATTTTTAGATCAACTGTTGTCTATCCATGTCTCTCCTATCTTATATCTGTGGAGTTGATGTTTTGTACCAAGTACAAGAATTTGCATTTATCACCACATTCATATTATTAGATTCAGGCCAATGCCCTAGCTTGTCAGGAACCTTTCAGATCCTGACTCTATCTTTCATTGTGTTAGCTATCCCTCCCAGTTTCATATCATCTGCAAATTTGATGAACATACCATCTATACCATTATCCAAGTCACTGAAAAAAAATGTTAAATAGCACAGAGCCATGTACAGCTCCCTAAGGTCCTCTACTAGAGACCTCCTGCCATGATGCCATCGAACCATTAATAACAACTCTTTGAGTTTGGCCATCCAGCCACTTCTAAATCCACTGGACTGTTTTATCATCTAATTCAGGGGTGAGGAACGAACCTGTGGCCTCAAGGCCATACGTGACCCTCTAGGTCCTTAACTGCAGGGACACTTGAGGCAGGGACAGCTCTACAACCCTTGCCAGCAGGAAGCAGTTTCAGAAGCTGAGACCTTCACCCCTTACCCCAAAAGATTCTGGGTCCCATTTGTTTGAGGGGGGAATGATGGGATGATGGGACCTGGACTCTGAATTTTCCCATATAACCCAGTCCCTGGCATCTCACCCAAGGCATCTGGCCCATCCCAGCCCATCCAGATACTCAATACACCTTTGACTGAATCCAAACTTCACAGAACAAATTCCCTTAATAAAAGGATTTGTTCTGTAAAACTTGGACTCAGTCAAAAGGCCACACTCAAGGACCTAGAAGGCCACATGTGGTCTCAAGGCTGCAGGTTCCCCACCCCTGATCTAATCCAAAGTCCCCCAGGGCCTTTTACAAAGTGGGTGCTTGATAAAGGCTTGTTGAACTGAACTGAATCTCAGCATATGATGACAAAAGAAAATCCTTCTTTTGTTATTGGAAAGGCCTTCTAAGGTGATTTAATGTCCAACATGAACACATACATACAAATCCTGTATATATAGATGAGTACAGTACTCACGATGTGCAAAAACTTGTATGTCAGAAGCACTGAACTTGGAGTCAGAAAACCAAGGGCTAAAGTATGGGTTCCAATGTAGGACTTTGCCATGGGAATATGGGCCAAGATATAGCCCATATGACTCTCTGAGTGAAGGTTTCTTTTTCCTTTTCTTTTTTTTTTTAGGCAATTGGGGTTAAGTGACTTGCCCAGGGTCACACAGCTAGTAAGTGTCAAGTGTTTGGTCTGATGCCAGATTTGAACTCAGGTCCTCCTGACTTCAGGGCTGGTGCTCTATCTACTGTACCACCTACCTGCCCCACCCTGGCTCTTCTACTTCATAGCTAAGTGATCTGGAGCAAGTCACTTCCCTTTCTCCGACCATTGGTTTCCTTTTCTCTCAAATAAAGGATTAAACTAGATCATCACTAAAGGTATGTCCCTTCCAGCTTGAAATCCGATGATCCTTTTATTCTTATCTCATTGGGTTGTTATAAAGAAATAATTTTTAAAAATTGTGAGGTGCTAGCTAGAGAAATGAGAGCTATTGTTACGGCTTACAAAAAATAAAGACATTATTAGAACAGATTAAATGATTTACCTTAGTATTTCATGTATTTTTAAAAGTCTAAAACAGGTGGAACTTGGAAAACTGTAACTCCCTGAGTTTTTACTCCAGAAACATGCATGTATTTAGGGACTACTCCAGAGAGAAGACCTGAAAAATTGTGTATACCTGTTTAAACAGTTGAAGTTGTATGGCATTCTGAAGGAATTGCCTCATGGCACTGGATCGATGGGACACAAAGGTTTCTTCAGAAAATGTTATTGGTTCCTCCTGGGAAGAGAAGGACGCAAAGGATGGGGGAGAGAGGGAGAGAAACATCAGACTCTGCTGAGTCATTATATGGCCAAATAGGAATGACATTCTACAGATACAAAGGACAATAAAAGTGTTATGGAATCTACATTCCAACCAGTTACAAGTCACAGATGGTAGTAAGCTAAATACACACACACTCACACACATATATGTGTACGTTTATATGCATATTTATTTTATATGTAGATTTGCACGTGTGTGTTTATGTATATATGTGTATACTTCTATCTGTCTGTCTATCTATACTTCCTAAAGATCATGATGCAGTGGAAAGATGCCCAGCCAGGGAGAGAGACTCAGATTCTGGTCCTGACTCTGTCACAAACTTTCTATATGACTTTGGGCAAGTTACTTTTCTTCATGGGCTCTCAAATTATTCCTTTATACAATGAAGTAATTGGATTAGGTGTTCTATAAGGTATCTTTCAGCTGGGACATTCTATATGCTAACATCATCACCATTTTGGACTCTCCAGGTGCTAAGGTTCCTAGGAGTCGAGATGTTCTATGTGCTAATATTTTATGCTCTAAAATCCTTTGACATTCTATGTTCTGACATTTGCTATCTATGTTTTCATGTCCTTTCCAGTTCTAACATTCTAAGCTCTCTGGTCCCTTCCATTTCCAATGTCTATGATTCTAATAGGATCCAAATTAAAATCTACCAGCCCCAGAACGTTTTACTAATCTTACTCCCCTTGCTGAGGAAGTTTGATTCTTCAAACTACTTTGAATAACTCAATAAAGTGATACAACAAAATCCTCTGTTTTTGTATATTCAACACCTTAAATCTTCTTTGAACAGATTCAGAGGGCTCACCTACACAAACAAGCCTTTAATTTCATTGGTGTGTTCTCAGTTCAGAAAGATTAGACTTTTATATCTTGAAAAGAATGAAATCTCCCCCCTTTCCCAGGCTTGTTGGCAAAAGACAGATTGTTTTGAAGCTCTACTTTCATCTTGTTTTAATGAGTTATGTTAATGTTGAAGTCTGCTGTGTAGCTGCCATCAGACCACATATTTCCCCCATGCTGAAATGTATACAGCCCGAATTCAGCAAGGAGAGACATTTATTAAATAAGAAAAATAGCAGTGACAAACAGCCAGAAGATTTGGCTTGTGTAAAATTAATTTTGAGTTCTTTTAATGCACCCACCAAAATGTTCAAAGCCTTTTGGCTGGAGAGGGCTTCCGTGTTCAGCAGCTTCAGGAGGCATGCCAGTCAGCAGGGACTGACTAAAGCACAGCACACTGATTCACGGGCCTGCTTGGGTTTCAGTTCTTGAACCATCCCTGGTCTATGGATCTGAACTAGAGTGAGTAGCTTTGGCTTCAGAATCCTGGCACAACAGGTGAACAGTTCAGGTAGTGTTTTTCTAGGAGACAGGCAAGGGCAAGTGATTCAAAGAATCACAGACTCAGTATTAGAGCTGGAGGGGACTTAAGAACAAAGAAAGTTAGAAGATTTTAGAAATCATCTAGTCTGGTCCATTCATCTTTTAGGAGAAGGAAACTGAGGCCCAGAGAATTAAATCCAATCATTCAACATACCTATATTTATTAAATGGGTATGAACAAGGAACTATATTAGGTGCTAGAGATGCAATGACAATGGAACTGTCTTTGCCCTCACCTAAATTAAACAAACATTTACTGAGTCCTTATATTCTGCTGAGTAGATGTGGCATGTAGGCAGAAAAATAAATATAAGATAATTTGGGGAAAAAGAGAACACTACCGATGAGGTGGATCAGGAAAGGCTTTCGGGCAGAGGTGATATCTGAGTTAGTTCTTGGAAAAGGCTAAGGATTCAGAGAGGCAGGGATGAGGAGGAAGTGCATCCCAGGTAAAGGGATGTACTTGAAATGACTTTAGATTTTATGTTGCACTGAGATTTAATAGAAGAGCCAAATCTAGAAAAGTGCTTTGCAAACTATAAAAACTTCTATATAAATATGAGTAATTATTTTTATTCTATAGGGAAAAAGTGGCCATCATGAGGCGTTATACCAATGTAGTTACTGCTTTCATCACAGTGAGATGATTAAGTCTGTGATGGGGACACGCTAATGAGAAAGGATGAAAATGTGTTTTCTCCATGAGGTGCTGCAGTGATGAGTGGCACTAATGGAATAGATTTCAGAGAATTTGGTGGGGGGTGTTAAGTTGGAGAGATGGTGTTGTTCAATTCTCTTTGTTAGAGACCTTTTCTCAAGTCAGACTCATCCTTCCCTTACTGACTGTGTTGGGGGGCACATCTCTCCTTTTAAAAGAAAACTGATAAAATACAGAATCTGAGTCTGCATAATCACTAATTGTTCAGATAAGTTAACAGTGTGTATGGGGGGAAAAGCATCCTCGTATGAGAAAACATTACTATATAAACACGTTGAATACAATAATTACTATATCAGAACTATAACATCTCACTATGTCAATAATAGTATTTCTATTATACCTTATGGTTGGAAAGCACTGTATTGCAATTGTTGTTCACAATTGCTTGGATGGTAGGCAGTGTAGTACAGTAGGAAGAGCTTTAGACTCACAGGACCTACATTCAAGTCCTGTTTCTAACTCACTGCTTATGTGACTTGGGCAAATTACTTAACCTCCCCTGGGTTTCTTCATGCAAAATGAGAAGATTGGATTAAATGACTTCTGAGGTCCCTTTTAGCTCTAGCTTTAGCCCATTCTTTCCATTTCACAGATTAGGAAACTGAGGTTAAGGAAGAAAAATAACTTACCCAGGGTCAAATAGTATGCGGCTGAGGCAGAACTCAAACCCAAGATTTTCTGACTCCAATTCCAATTGTCTTTCCACTATTCTACATCAGTGACATAATCACCTTGAAGGTGGGGACAGTATTGTTTTTCATCTTTGTAGTGTCAGTGCTAACCATACAACCCAGCTTATAACAGACATTTAACACAAAAACTTTTTGAATTAAATAGAATGGAATCAGAGACAAGGTCTTAAGCATGCTCTTTCTTTAGCCCATACCAGGAAGAATATCTATTCTATAGTGGTTCAATGAATGAATGAATTCCTTGGGACCTAGGGGCAATGGAGAGAAATATGATGGGCATGAAGAAGCTGTAACATATTAGGATCACAGAATTATAGATTTAGCGTTAGAACAGACTTCAGAATCCATCCAGCCCCACTCTCTCAGGATAGAGATGAAGAACCTAAGGCCCAGAGTAGTTAAGTGACTTGTTTAACTTTACCCAACTGGTAATAATAACCATTTATATAATGTTTACGATGTGTCAGGCACTGTGCTAAGTGTTTTACAATTATTATCTTATTTGACCCTCATAACAGCCCTGAGAGGTAGGTGCTATTATTATCCCCACTTTACACATGAGGAAACTGAGGTAAACAGTTTAAATGATTTGCCCAGGGTTGCACAGTAAGTGTCTGCAGCTGAATTTGAACTCGTCTTCCCGACTTGAGGCCTGGTGCTCTATCCACTATGCCACTTCCTAACTCAGTATCCAGTGTTCATTCCAATCTAAGCTCCCACCTCATATCTAGGAGTTGTTTGTACAGCATGGAATAAGAGATAGTACATGGGAATATAGGGAGGGAAAATGAGATGAGTCAACCCTATAGCAAAGATGATATTGAGTCATGAAATTGTGGTGACTGGATCCACCATAAATTTACATTATATGTAATTAATATAAGTATATATAATATAGCATAAATTATATAATCTCAACTGGATGCTCACTGTAGAAAGGCAATTTTTTTTATATCTCCCTAGTTGATCAACTTTTCCACTCATGACAGTGGCTTTTCCAAACCTTTTCATTTTTCCTCAAACTTCTTAAAGCTCCCCCACCCACTCAGCTGAGAACCTTGCCTAATATTTCAAAGAAAGAAAATTGAGCCCATTTGCCAAGAACTTCCTCTTTTCTCCTCCCTCTTATCTTATGTCAGATGCCTTCTGCCACTCTCTTCTCCTTTACCCCATCCTACATGAGGAGGTGTACCTTCTCCTTGCCAAAGCACACCGCTCTACATGCACAAGTGATCACATTTCATCCTATCTTCCATATATCCATCCCATCTAGCTATCATCCCAATATCCCTCCTTGCTTTTGTGGCTACACTCCATAAGAAAGTTGTCTGCACTTGATGTCACCTCTTCCTTACCTCTTGCTCTCTTCAATCTGGTTTCTAATATGATTCAACCAAAACTACTCTCTCCAAAGTTATTAATGATATCTTAATTGCCAGATCTAATGGCATTTTCTCAGTCCTCATCCTTCTGGACCTCTCTGTAGCCTCTGACACTGAAGATCATCCTCTTCTCCTTGACACATTCTTCTTTCCAGGTTTTAGTGACACCACTCAATCCCAGTTCTCCTCCTTTCTTCTAAGTCTCTTTTGCTGGATCACCACCCAGGTTGTGCCCATTAACTGTGGACTATGTCCTGGGCCCTCTTCTCTTTTCCCTTTATTATTTCACTTGGTGATTTCATCAACTTCCCTGGCTGCATCTATCATTTTTATGCTGATGATTTTCAGATCTACTTATCCAGTTCTGACTTTTGGTCTCATATCTCTAACTGTCTACTAGTCATCTCAAATTGAATGTCCCATATATGTCTTAACATCAACATGCTCAAAAAGGAACTCATTATGTTTGCCCTCAAATCCTCTCCTCCTCCTTACTTCCCTATTATTTGTTGGAAGCACCACCATTCTACTCGTCACTCAGGTTCAAAAACTAGGTGCCAGCCTTGATTCCTCCCCCTCTCTCATCCCCCATATCCAATCTGTTGCCAAGTTCTGTTGATCTTTTGTACATATCCCTTTCTCTTCTCTGACCCTGCCGCCACCTTGGATCAGACTCTTTATCTCCTTACCTCCCCACACCTGGACTATTGCAATAGCCTGCTATCTGATCTCCTGACCTCAAGTGTCTCTCCACTCTGGTCC